ATTGTAGACATATCTTCATGATATAAACCAAATTGTTTTGATAGTTATACAACTTTATATGAACCTTGAATTTTTTTAGATATCAATTTTTTTAAGTTTGTGTAATAATTTATTGTTGATTGGAAAACCATTACTTACTGGATGAGATGCATTTGAGTTTTTAATGCATACATAATCCAGTGAAGTAATTTATCCGGCTATAACCCAAATTTTGTTCATAAAGATAGACTGTATGAACATAGTATGATAAATTTTGACTGTACACTTTCTTGAAAAAAAGTTCAAATTGAGATAAGAGTTTTAAAATATGTTGAATTAACAGTTCTATAAATCTTAGTCTTTTCTGTGTATTTTAATATATATTTTGGTGGATTTTTTTTATTGCTTGTACAGGCAATTAGAACAAGTATATAGAAATTTTTGGAAAATAGCTTAACAATTATAAAAAAGCTGCAGGAACAATTGTAGTCTTTTCTCTCAGGTGTTTATATTAGTAAAAAGACATCCAAGGTTATTTAGAAATGTTATTAATGTTGAAACTTTAAAAAGCTATCTATAGATAACATACTTTCATCTATTTGTACAGAAGTATCAAAATACTGTATATTCAAAAAGTAAAATTTTGAATGAGATGTCTGGCATAATTATACACCTACCTCTGTGGATGGGAAAGAAGGAGATCTCCATCTTTAAAAGATTGAATATTAGATAAAATGATATCAGAAAGACTTATACAAGTTACGGCAAATATATTCAAACAAACAGTATTTTGATGACCTCAATCATGACTATTTGATGTTTACATGATGATACATGTATTCAGGTATTGGTCAGGTCAATGTTTGTGCTGAACATAGTTAATGAAATTTTACACATATTCATTATGATCTACATTTTGCAAATAATTGTATAATAAACCAAATTAGGGTTAAATCTAGAATTTGTCATGTTGAAGTCCAAAGCAAAATGTCTTAATATGTTTTTAAAAATTTATATTATTAGCAGACCTTTGCAAATTTTATTCAGTGAAATTATTTAACCTAGTTACTACAAACAGTATTTCTAACTGAGAAAAACATGTAATTTATTTGGCATCTTTATCTAATTATATATGTACAAACAAACGTAAGAACAGATAGCCATTGAAAATAAAATAAATGTATTAGATCACATGTTGTTGTTTCACTTCTATCAAGAAATATGTTTAGTCATGTTAATTCCCTAAATCAACTCGGTAACACACAAAAAAAAACAATTATAACTTGCACATCACCACATAATACTGGATAATCAAATGGAGTGGAAAAAGAGGGGCACTTACTGTGCTAATTATGTGTGGTAGTGATGGTAAGTCTATTTTTTGTCAAATTTATTCGGAATGTATTTTTTTAATATTAAAAAGAAATGAAGAGAAAACGAGAACAAATGCTCACATTTATCTGAATCTTTAATGTGTGATAAAAGAAAGATTAACCATACTTAAATGGGACATTCTAACTCATATCATAATAAGAAAATAAACAGAAAATGCCATGTTTCCTTTACATAATATTTTATGTTGGTGCTCCTTTAGAAATGAGTCTTATATATAAAGCAAACACAGCCTATTTACACCGAAATCTGCACATGATACTTAATAATACTTCAAAGTTTGATAAGAAAATGCAAAGGAAACTGCAAGATATCAATCATAACATTTGGTAAAAGCAAACTAAAGTTAGAGAAAGGAAAGGAAAAATTCAGCATTTTTTCAATTTGTAAAGGGGCATAACTCTAGAACGGTTAAAGTGACACCAACAAAATTAAAACTTGGTGTGTGTTGTGTGGTAAAAACATTGTGATAAAGTTTCATAACATTTGGTTGAGGCAAATAAAAGCTGGAGAACGGAAATCAAATCTGGGACGTACATACGGACAAACAGACTTACATACGGACAAGGGTAAAATTCAATGCCCCCTCAGCTACGATGGGGCATAAAAATTAGCAAGTTCTGTCATTTTTTTCCTGTGAATATTCAAAAAGAAAGGTTTTTTTCCAATTTCCCCTATATCCATTCAGAAATTAGCCTATTTGCACCCATTTTCAGAGGTTAAAAATTCTCTTGAATGGCCGGTGACCCCCAAATTTTATTCCAATTTTATAAAATAGAGACTTCAAGCTTTTCAGTATGAAAAAATGAGCAACTTCTGTCATTTTGTTTGCTGTGAAATTTTAATGAAAGAGGTTTTATGTCCATTTTCCCTATATTTAGCCTTTTTGCACTCATTTACCGAGGCCAAAAAATCTCTTGGATGGCCGGTGACCACCAAATATTTTTCCAATTTCGTAAAACAGAGACATCACGCTTTAAATTATGGAAAAATGAGCAACTTCTGTCATTTTTGTTTGCTGTGAAAATTCAATCAAAGAGGTTTTATGTCCATTTTCCCTATATCTAGCCTTTTTGCACTCATTTTCACAGGTCAAAAAATCTCTTGGAAGGCCTGTGACCCCCAAATTTTATTCCAATTTCATAAAATAGAGACATCAAGCTTTCCGTATGAAAAAATGAGCAACTTCTGTCATTTTGTTTGCTGTGAAAATTCAATCAAAGAGGTTTTTATGTACATTTTCCCTATATTTAGTCTTTTTGCACTCATTTTTAGAGGTCAAAAAATCTCTTGGATGGCCGGTGACCCCCAAATTTTATTCCAATTTCATAAAATAGAGACATCAAGCTTTTCAGTATGAAAAAATTAGCAACTTCTGTCATTTTGATTGCTGTGAAAATTCAATCGAAGAGGTTTTATGTCCATTTTCCCTATATTTAGCCTTTTTGCACTCATTTTTAGAGGTCAAAAAATCTCTTGGATGGCCGGTGACCCCCAAATTTTATTCCAATATCATAAAATAGGGACATCAAGCTTTTCAGTATGAAAAAATGAACAACTTTTGTCATTTTGTTTGCTGTGAAAATTCAATCAAAGAGGTTTTATGTCCATTTTCCCTATATTTAGCCTGTTTGCACTCATTTTAAGAGGTCAAAAAATCTCTTTGATGGCCGGTGACCCCCAAATTTTATTCCAATTTCATAAAAAAGAGACATCAAACTTTTCAGTATGAAAAAATGAGCAACTTCTGTCATTTTGTTTGCTGTGAAAATTCAATCAAAGAGGTTGTATGTCCATTTTCCATATATTTAGCCTTTTTGCACTCATTTTTAGTGGTCAAAAAATCTCTTGGATGGCCGGTGACCCCCAAATTTTATTCCAATTTCATAAAATAGAGACATCAAGCTTTTCAGTATGAAAAAATGAGCAACTTCTGTCATTTTGATTGCTGTGAAAATTCAATCAAAGAGGTTTTTATGTCCATTTTCCCTAAATTTAGCCTTTTTGCACACATTTTTAGAGGTCAAAAAATCTCTTGGATGGCCTATGACCCTCAAATTTTATTCCAATTTCATAAAATAGAGACATCAAGCTTTTCAGTATGAAAAAATGAGCAACTTTTGTCATTTTGTTTGCTGTGAAAATTCAATCAAAGAGGTTTTATGTCCATTTTCCCTATATTTAGCCTTTTTGCACTCATTTTTAGAGGTCAAAAAATCTCTCGGATGGCCGGTGACCCCCAAATTTTATTCCAATTTCATAAAATAGAGACATCAAGCTTTTCAGTATGAAAAAATTAGCAACTTCTGTCATTTTGTTTGCTGTGAAAATTCAATCAAAGAGGTTTTTATGTCCATTTTCCCTATATTTAGCCTTTTTGCACTCATTTTTAGAGGTCAAAAAATCTCTTGGATGGCCGGTGACCCCCAAATTTTATTCCAATTTCATAAAATAGAGACAATAAGCTTTTCAGTATGAAAAAATAAGCAACTTTTGTCATTTTGTTTGCTGTGAAAATTCAATCGAAGAGGTTTTATGTCCATTTTCCCTATATTTAGACTTTTTGCACTCATTTTTAGAGGTCAAAAATTCTCTTGGATGGCCGGTGACCCCCAAATTTTATTCCAATTTCATAAAATAGGGACATCAAACTTTTCAGTATGAAAAAATGAGCAACTTCTGTCATTTTGTTTGCTGTGAAAATTCAATCAAAGAGGTTTTATGTCCATTTTCCCTATATTTAGCCTTTTTGCACTCATTTTTAGTGGTCAAAAAATCTCTTGGATGGCCGGTGACCCCCAAATTTTATTCCAATTTCATAAAATAGAGACATCAAGCTTTTCAGTATGAAAAAAATAGCAAATTCTGTCATTTTGTTTGCTGTGAAAATCAATCAAAGAGGTTTTATGTCCATTTTCCCTATATATCCATATAGCCTATTTGCACTCATTTTCAGAGGTCAAAAAATCTCTTAGATGGCCGGTGACCCCCAATTTTGTTTGGATTTTTTCAATTACCATGCTACTTTAAGTTCACAAAGTATAAGAAAATTCTGTCATTTTTTTTTCTATACCCCTGAACTACCTTAACTGTTAATGTTTTCATATTGGCATTAAGGGAGGGTAACTCTGAAATATTGCATTGTCTGAAGGAATCTGCATGGAATTTTGCTATTTTGTATTTTGGCTGGAAAAAACGTACGGTGACCCTATCTTTTCTTTTTATGTTCTTAAAGCAATTTCTAAAAGCTATTTTTTATTTTAAAACTCTATCATTTAGTTTAGCTTCTAATCACATAATGATGTTTTTTCCTGTATAATCCATACAAAATGTGTCATTTTGTCACAACCTGCAACTTGAGAAAATGCGCGGTGACCTATAATTTTTATTATATTTTTGAACATATATCAATATATACTACATTTTGGCAAAGTATGAACAAATTCTATCATTTTAAATGTATACTCCTATTCTACCTTAAGGGTTTTTTTTCATTTAAATTGTTGACATTATTATTTAAAAAACCGGTTTATGCAAATTCTATTTTCACTATGTCCTTAGTACCTCCTTCATATAAATGATAAAAATCCTAATTTTTACTTAATTGTATAGTTTTTTTTTTTATTTAGACCAAACATCTGCTGAAATTGAGAGCCACAAAAAAGCAGGCACATACATAGAGGTAGAAACAGTAAGGCATTGTATCCAGTTATTAGAGAGTAAGCATGTTGTGATATTGTCTGGCAGAGAGGGTAGTGGTAAAAGTAGAAATGGTTTAGAAATACTGAGACAGCTCAAGGAAAAAAACAAAGACTTTGATGTTTTTAAATTGATCGGACTAACTTATGTATCTGACATTGTTAAATGTAATGTCACAAGTATTGTGCTTTTTGATGATGCTTTTGATAAAACTAGTAAACAATTTTCTAACGATAAACATATTCTTGATCACTTATACTCCTACATAACACTAAACAAGGTCAAGTTATTTTTCACAATGAGAAACACTGTGAGACATAGGTGTAAAATGTTATTTTCAACGCACAAACTTTTTCATGATTTGGTTGATATTGATCTGAATTCAGAGAAATTTAAGTTGACGGCGAAAGAAAAAGAAGAAATGTTTACCAATTATTGTGCCATCAACAAAATTCGGATATCTGAGAAGGAAAATGATGATACAGCACAGCCAGTGGCAAATGAAGCTGAAAGGGCTAAACCAGAGGATAACCAGTTAGTGCCAGAAGGAGCTGCTGTAATTCTGAAAAGAGAAATAATTAATGAAATCATACAAACTGATCCTTTTCTCGGATTTCCAGAATGCTGTCGATTATTTACTGAGGATCGCAACAGCACTCATTTAGATACTTCTTGCTCCAAATGGCCTTCGACTATTTTGGTTAATGATATTGAAAAATTAAGAATGGAAGGAACAAACAATTATGTCAATGGACTAAAGTATGTTATATTGATTTATGTACTTACGAAGGGTTATCAACATCAACAATACGAAAGCTGCTTTTATAGAACTAATCGTGCATTAGTCAAAGAGAACATTGATTCACAGGACTTCAAACAATTTTTTCAAATATGTTACAACATGAATGTGGAGGTTCATACATCTGATATAGTACATGTATGTAAAGTATTGACAGAACGTTATCTAGGTCACAGAGATGGTGCTTACCACTTTCAACACAAAGCCATAGAAGACAGTGTCCTAATTTCTTATAGCAGAATTAACATAAAGGCCATCATACCCCTGCTTAGTTTCGACCACGTGGTAGATATAGTTCGCTTACAAAATTACACAGAACAGGAAGATGAGATTGTAATTAAAATATTAAAACCATATTATCCGGAACTAGCCACAAAGATTATTTCTAGTTTATTTTCCCAGATTGATCCTCATAGGTTTTTAGAATCAAAATTGATTACGGAAAACGATGTAGACCTTATTTATCAATTGATTTTTTGTATACAAAATGAAAAAGTTATCCTAGATTATTACGACCAAAATTTCGTCATCCATTTCTTACCATTATATTTACTTAGAAGCACAGGAAAACTTGATGACAAGTTGTTAACTGTCAATCATACCAAATATCAAATGTCCATATCAGTTACCATTGGAGACAAAAATATTACCCTCTCCATAGATCCACATATTGCTTTGAACGAAGCATGTATATAAAAAAATAATGAAACCTTTAAATGGTTGTTAAAAATTACCAACCATTCATTTTTCGGATATCTGCTTTGATATAATGGTGGATGGATGTTTTGAAAATACAAAGTTGCTATTAAAGAATGTAAAACATAATATGATTGATATGACGCAATTATTTTTAGATACATGCCTCAGTTGTAACAACAAAGACATATATAAACTACATTGGATAGTGGATAATGTCGATAACTCTTTAATAGACTTTAATGAATGTATAGAAGAAATGATCAATGAGGTCGACCCTGATATTATATTTTATATAATAAAGAAGGTTAACCACAGATGGTTGCATATCAATAAAGAAGTAAAAGTATTCTGTAAACATGGATACAGTGAGATAGTAGAACGGATACTGAAGAACGTTTATCGTGAATGCTTTGATGAAGAAGAATTATTAAATATTACGATTGATGAATTTAAAACAAGATCAAGTTTTTACTAGTTGTGGTTATTGCAAAATTGTAGAACTGTTGATTTTACAGAAACCTGGAATAATATGTTGCAGCAACATAAATAAACTTGCTGATATGGCAACTCGAAAAAGATGGTATGGTGTTTTGGAACTATTATTAAAACACGACGGTAACTCATTAATCAATAAAGATAAAATCATTGCAAATACATATAAACGTATGCATAATGAGGATGATGAATATGAGGAAGATGAATTTGAGGAATATGATAACGATGCTGTACATTGCTTGAAGATTGTTCAACTTATAATGAAAAACTATTTAGATATCGACGTCAACAAAATAATAAAGAAAACAGTTGAGGTTGGATTAGACAATGTTTTAGAAGAATTGTTATTGGACAAAGTTGACAATATATCATATTATCTTGATATAACATTTAAAATATTGCGACTTCAACAGCTCATTTATGATTCTATACGTTTTGACGTAGGCCATGGAAAAATACTTCTGTTACTTTTACAAAGAGTAAAAAACAAATCCATTGATTTAAAAAGTATTATGAATGAGGTATGTGATATTGGACATGCATCAGCAGTACTGTGGTTACTAGAAAATAAATCTTCTTATTGCTTCGATATGAGAAATGTAATGAACAAAGCCTGCTTTCATGGTGATCTTGAACTAATCGAATATATTTTTCAAAAATACAAAGCAGTTAATATTGATTATAAATTTGCAATGATGAAGGCTTGTCGAAACCCAAAAGCATTAGATGTGTGTAAATGGTTATGGAGAAACATTGACCATGGTGTGTTTGATATGAAGGCAGCACTGAATAATGCAAGTAGATGTGACAATAATAAAGCTGTGGAATGGATGCTTACATATGTTGACACTGGATTATATGATATTGAAGCTGCAGTGCTCTGTGCTTGTGAACATGGAAAGGAAGATACATTAAAGTTGTTATTGAAACAATCTAGTATAAACATGCTTGATATTCAATCTGCGATAATAAAAGCGTGCCGGAATGACAACGGTTTAGTAATCATAAAACTATTATACAAACGTGCTGATCAATCAACTATTGCCATAAATGTTGTATTATCAGCCGCATGTAAAAACTACAGGAGCGATATTGTACATTGGATAATTGAAACGTGTGATCAAAATATAAATGTTACTGAAACCAGCGACGGGACAAAAATATTGATTAACAATCCAGAGAAAAATATGGTTGACATGAACCATGCAATAATCTTTATACTTGATATGAAGGATCCTGAACAAGAGAGAGAAAGTGTAGATGAAACTAAATTCGAGCTTCTATGGCTAATCCTTAAACAGTCCGATCCAGATTCGATCGATGTACTTACACTTTTGACAGAATCCTGTAAAAGGGACTGGGTACAAATTTTCAAATTGATACATGGACACCATGCTTTTATCAACATTCGCAATCTAATAAATGTCGCTTGTCAACATGGGGCATATAAGACTGTAAAGTGGTCCTTAGAAAATATTGATTTGAAATTAATAGATGTTAACAACGTTATGGTTGAATCGTGTGGATTTGGTTGGCTTGAAAGTTTGGTTTTAGTTCAAAAACACTGTAACCAATGCGTTTTGCAAGCAGCAATGGCTGTTGCTTGTAATTATGGACACCTTCATATTGTTGAAAGGCTTTTACAAACCATTCATCCCGAGTGTTTTAATCGTCCGTTGCTTCTAAGGGAAGCAGGTCGGATTGGATGGGGTCATGTTTTTCGGTGGCTTGTAGACAATTTTGTTTTCCAAACATCTGACATCCAAATGGCAACAAAAGAAGCGGTTGTAAATGGAAAGCTGGAAATAATAAAAATAATATTTCCGCAGATTGTTAGATATGATCTTGATTTTTCCGATCTTCCGGAAAAAACCTTTGCCGATTCCAATAACAAAGAAGTTGTAACTTTTTTATTGCACCATTTTGATCCACTCAAACTAGATATATCTGCAATAATGAAAAAAAGCCTGTAAATTCGGTTGGAAGGAAATAGTAGAGTTTATTATAGACAAAAAATTATTCAGTTCATGTGATTTGAATTTAGCAATTGCAATAGCATGTGAAAATGGGGAGTCAGAAATCGTTAAAGAGTTAGCAGAAAAATTCCACCTGCAGATTTTGAAAGCGGAAAAAACCATGCTCTCTGTCTGCATTAAAGGGTGGGACGAAATAGCTGTATTGTTGTTGGACAATTTCGAACATCCATTACTAGACATCAGCAACGCTCTTATTGAAGCCTGTCGCTGTGGTGAAACAGATGTTGTTCAAGCAATACTCCAGAAAGTAGACCATAACCTGCTTGACATCAACACAGCTGTTAATGAAACATGCAAAAATCATATGCATGAAGAACTTGTCTTGTGGATTTTAGAAAATATGAAACAAGAGCACGTAGATTTTAAAACTGTCAAAAGACAGGCAATTCGACATAAATGGAGGAAAGTTCAATTTGTAATGACGGAGGTAGACACTGAAGAACTTAATCAAGCCGAACAAGAGATTGAAACAGATGGTATCGTTATCTCGTAACAGTTTAGTTAAAATGAAACCAATGGAACGAATTTGACTCATAAGCCGGCAGTAAAATTAACGTATCATTAAACTAAACAAATTTAAATTATTCAAACTTTCGGCAGAGTAGTCGCATTTCATTTGGATCAATGAGTGTTCTTTCTCAAATTTCATAAAGCATTTGTAAACCTCAAAATAAATTCTGACTGTCGGTAAATATCTTAAAGATTTCATTTATTATTAATTTTTAATTATATATATATATATATTTATTCCTTCATTTATTTATATAGTTGTGTATATTTGTCACTGTATCGTATTTATGGAAATTCACTGCGAAGAGATGGAAAATGTAAGCAGCAATATTTAAATAGTTACGTGCTTCACTGATTCAACGATTATTGTTTTGATTCAGATTTTGTTGTTAGTTAATACATGTAGTAGGTATACAGTATTTTTTATAAAATTATTCTAATGGTAAATCATTTGGAAACATCCGACAGAAAACTAAGTTAAAAAAAGGAAATAATAAATACCCATATCTTTTGTGACCGTTTAATCAACGTGTGGAATATTTGATTTTGCCATTTGATTAGGGACTTTTCGTTTTGAATTTTCCTTGGAGTTCAGTATTTTTGTGATTTTACTTTTTGTGTGCTTTTTTGTTAAATATTTGTTTGTTTTGAGATTGTGACACAGTAATGACTGCTGTACCCATATTGTGACTAGTTTACCTATTATGTCTGTTTTGTTCACGCATCGTTGTAAATATAACGGAATTTGATGCGACTGTCATACAAGTGAGAGGTTTAGCGCTATAAAACCAGGTTCAGTCCACCATTTTCTACATTTGAAAATGCCTGTACCAAGTCAGGAATATGACAGTTGTTGTCCATTCGTTTGATGTGTTTTATCATTTGATTAGGGACTTTCTGTTTTGAATTTTCCTCGGAGTTCAGTATTTTTGTGATTTTACTTTTTAATCATGAATCTATTCAGCTTTTTTTATTATATTACAAAGTTATTAATTTTTAAATGCGTTGAAAAACATGATTTTCCTAAGGATGACTTAAAGTACGTCAAAAGCCTTAATCTCTTATCGTTTCATTTATGTCAAAATTATTACATTGATAAAAATGAACAATAAATGTAGGCTTGCATGTTTTTAAAAAGAACGTGTCCCTTTATTCTATACTTGTATATTACAGATTGTTTCTTTCAAAAGTATTTACTCGTTAAAGGTGGTTAAAATATGTAATTTTGTAATTATTAATATACACTTTTTGTTTTATCTTCAATTTCTGCGTTAAATGTACTTAATACTTATATAACACATATGCCATTCGCATAATGATCTCTTTTTTATTTGTTTCAGAATCACATTGTCTGTAGCATAACTGAAAGTTCCTCCGCCTGTTTTATGTATTGGGATGTCAATTGTATTGTAGTTTTCACTTTGATTACAGGATATATGAAATCACATTTAAGTGATAAGATACCTGTATTTTCTCCAGTCCGACAACTGTATCTGTCTAAATATGCTAGGCAATTGACATATTTTATCCTTTTGAGTCTTTTCAGGCCAACCTTAGTGATCCGGTGTAAAATATGTTTTCACCCTGCAATCGGATGACATATTTGTCAGTGGCTGTTAAAGAAAGGGTGCATTAACTTATTAACTGAAGAAAGGAGATATGAGAAATGGAGATATGGGGTATACGGGGAACAGGAAACTAACATTAGAATTAAAAGAAATCTTGATGCATTTCTGACAGACAAGCTTGACACAGACTCAAAGAATTATCCTTGATAGAGCTATCATGAGCACTTACATGAGCAACATAAGCTACCATGAGTTACCAGATGCCACATGTGGAGCAGGATCTGCTTACCCTTCCAGAACACCTGAGATCCTCCACGGTTTTTGTTTGGGTTCGTGTTGCTCAATCTTTAGTTTTTGTTGTGTACTGTGGAATGTTGATTGTCTTTTGGACTTTTTTTATATGGCGTTATCAGTTCGTTTTCGACTTATGAGTTTGACTTTTCCTTTGGTATCTTCCGATTCTCTTCAATCGTATTTTTGACGATTTATTGATTTTAACATTTACACATACAGGTTTAATGCCTGAAATACGCTCGGAAATTTTGTACAACTTAGAGCTAGACATATGAGGTAGGAACGAAATGGCGTTTCTGGATATTTTTTTGTCTTTTATATCTCATGAAAAAACGCCAGTTATCTTGTGCTTATTTATCCTTTCATTTGTAATTTATATCCGTGT